TATATATATATATATATAATAATAAATATATATATATAAACACTAATATTCCATGGTCATAATTTATTCCATTGGAATCGTAAATACGATCCAATTCATCAGACCGACAAATTCAAAAAGAAAACAGAATTTGTAGATCTGATGAATTATATCGTATTTACGATTCCAATGGAATAAATTATGACCATGGAATATTAGTGTTTAAGCCTTTTTATTATATCCTTTCTCTGTCCTGGACATTGAGTATTACCTGGATTCTATCCTCTTAAATTTATATGTATGTATATGCATGTATGTTTATATATTTATATATTTTGCATATGTATGTATATTTACAACAAATATTAAATATATATCACTATATATATATATATATATATATATATATATATATATATATATATATACATAGAATAAAAAGCCAAAGTTACCACATTCGAATAGCTCTGAGTTCATAAGGTCTACGAAGAAGTATTGTGGTTCGAAATAGCAATTGAATGAGGGACTTATATATATATATATATATATATATATATATATATATATATATATATATATATATATATATTCAAAATAATCCCATATATGTTTGTGCGTGTGTATATAGATATGACAAATGTATGCATAAAACTAATACACATATACACACACAAAATATATATATATATATATATATATATATATATATATATATATATAAAATGAAAATGATACGAACGACTTATTTAAATCGTCCTTGATAAATTACTATATTTACACACATCCGTCCATACATACACACACACACACATATATATATATATATATATATATATATATATTTATATATATATATATATATATATATTTTAAAACTAACACATTAAACTAATACACACGCACACATTATAATCATATATAGTCAAAATAGTGCAAAAAATTTATCAAAATTCTCATTGTTAAACTGCTATATCTGCACACTTACAAACACACACAGACACAAATACACACATACATATATGTGTGTGGCATGTGTGTGTGTCTCTCTCTCTATATATATATATGTATATATATATATATATATATACATATACAAAAAGAGAGAGATGCGTGTGATTTTTGTATTCGGAATTATTGTTTGGTTCATGAATCATTTGTGAATTGGATATTTTCAGTGGCGTAACTGAAATTCTTTTTTATTTATTTTTAATTTTTTTTTAAAATCTACAGATGCGTTTTTCATCTTCAGCTTTTCCTATCTGCCTCTCCTTTGGCCATTATCAATTCATCTCTATATTTCATCAACGAACGACACAAAAGTACGCAGAGTTAGTCCCTTGTTGTGTTTCCAACGATGATAACTATCCGGGGTTATTTTATCCAAGTGCCAAACTTTTTTTTTTCTTTATTTTTGTTTTTTTTTTGTTTTTGTTTTTTTTTGTTTTCTTGATAGCAGTCGAAAGAACTTGGATCTTGCACTAGTTTCACCAAAGCAGGTATTATTTCAAATAAGTTCATCACAAATGCAAAAATATATATTTATAAATGAACATATAATTATGAAAAGAAATAAAAAAATAAAAAATATGTCGAAACAGGAACGAATACCTGTGCGCTGAAAAAAACTGATATTTTCTGTTAAATTACATTTGAAAATGTGACTTTTTTTAATTTTCCATTTTTTGGTATATCTTAAAGACTCTTCAATATCTTCTAAGAAAGAATACCCCGTATCAGAAATATATATTCGCTAGATGTGACGTGAAGGCCTATAATTATTAAAAAATATTATCATATATATATATATATAGATATATATACATATATATAAAACCACCAATCTACAAATTTCCAGACAGACCATTGAAAGTAGAAGTCAAACTCCTGAACTATGTAAAGTCTTTCACCTATCTTGGTAGCAAAGTCAATTACAGTTGCACTTTAGATGATGAAATCATGCATCGAATTGCTAAGGCTACCAATGCTTTCGGCAAACTTCGCCATCGCTTGTGGAATGAGCGGGGTATTCGACTGGATACGAAAATTCGGGTTTACAGAGCTGTTGTCCTTGCCATCCTTTTGTATGGCTCAGAGTCGTGGACTCTATACAGGTACCATATACGCCAGCTAGATATTTTCCATTAAAGCTGTCTGCATGCAATTTGTGGAGTTAAGCTTCAAGATAGGAGATCTAACGTAGACCTGTTTAACAGGTGTAATATTGGAGGAATGAAGACTTTTATCATACAGTCTTAGTTACGGTGGACTAGTCATGTCTTGAGAATGTCTGATGACAGGGTACCCAAGATCCTAATGTACAGCCAGTTAGATCAGGGCTACAGGAATATAGGACGCCATGGCTAAGATATAAAGTCAAGCTGAAAAGCAACTTGTCAGCATTCAATATACCACATAACACCCTTGAGCGCTTCGTCTTGGAGCGGGTAGAATGGAGATCAACGTGTTTTATTGGACTCAGCAATTTTCAGTCTGCTTGTCTGAATCATTTTCAAGAAGCGAGAGCAAGAACTAAAAGGTCAGCCAATCTAACAGTGATCTCATATCGCAATCCTCACACTTGCTCCATAGTTGGCCTCCTCTTTTAATCACTAGCGGGCCTTAAATGCCACTTAAGATTATCACACAAACTTACATAACTGAATCAATTGTTGTCAGATCCTCATACGTCGAAACCGACGGAGAGTTCATTATATATATATATATATATATATATATATATATATATATATATATATATATATGTGTATATATATATATATATGACCATGACAACTGTCTCTTGTCTTTCGTCTGACTGACACAATGTAATGGATAAATTCTGTATTAATTTTCTTTTATTTTAGATTTCGCAGTTAAATTTATATTTCCGACACGAAGTTATTTATAACGGAATATTATATATATTTCGTTTATAAAATTAATATTATATATTTTTCGTCGGTTGAAATAAGCTTATTCGCCATACGAGGTTATTTGGGATTTTATTGTGTATTAATTTCTGCTCTGTAATAATAAATATATTAAGCTCGTTCTATGGATCAGTTTTTTATATATATATATATATATATATATATAATACAATATATTATAGTGTGCTGTAAAAAGAGGCCATAAACTGCCGCGTTTGTAATTCGGAACAGAAATAAAGTTCGTTGAGTCAACTAAAATCTTTAATTCTACCTGCCTGAGTAGTGGGTAACGTGGTGGTCTGAATTTTATATATATATATATATATATATATATATATATATATATATATATATATATATATATATATATTGAAATTAAAATAACTGATCCAACGTGCAACTCTCGGATAATAAGTGTGACATTACTGTAATTATTGAACAATATAGTTCATGCCATATTCACGGAAAATCTACCAGTAAAAAAGAATTCTCTTATTGCGATATTTGTACAAAAACGCAGAACCTTAAAAATTAAATTCAAACTCAGCGTTGCGACCGCACGTTCCAAAACAATAACACATTTCTCATAGTATTTTTTCTGATTGCATCTCTATTTTCGTTGTCCTCTTATTACTGAGAAGTAAAAACAAGAACAAAATCTATTTACATACCTGATGATGTCTGTAGGAACAGACGAAAGCTTGTAAAAAATTAAAAAGACCTTATGCAACTGGAATTTATGAACAGGGATCATATCATTCATATACAGCTTCGGGGTTGATGTATCTTATTTATATGTTTGCGACAATGTATTCTCGCCATTTAAATCATTAACCTCTATATTTGTTTTTGTATGAATGATTCATTAATTTATAAATTATATTTGCACCTTTTAATTGATATATATATATATATATATATATATATATATATATATATATATATATATATATATATATATATATATATGTGACAGACATAGAAAAGTCTTACATATTTCCGTTTGGTGTGAGCAAGGGAGTTAAAAATTGTCCGTATTGTCCACTGTTGCCAACGTTTTTCGACCACTTTTTTTAGCCATTTTCAAAGGCTTTGTTTTAACTCTTGTTAATTTCTATTCATGTGTAACTCTTTAAGATGTTTTTTTGTGTGTTTTTAATATTAATAGAAGCGTTCATTTATTTATTTCCGTCTTTCCATAAAACCCTTTGCAAACTTCGTCAGTCTTAATAATCCCAGTAAAATCCCAGATTGGATCACTGAATCTCCTACCAAAAAAGAAAAAAATGATCAAACAGATGATCCGAAAAATTATAGGTCAATAACAAGTCTGTCCACCACATATAAATTGATCACATCGGTCCTGAAAAACTGTACTTACTCTTTGCTCGATGAAAACAATAAAAGTAAGATGTCGAAGAGGTTCATATTGTTGTAAATATTAACTATTGATAAACAAAATAATCTTGGATTATTGCAAGGTAAGAGTTAAGAATCTCAGAATACCATGGATAGATTACCGTAAAGCCTATGATAGTATGCCACACTTGTTTAGTGTGACACAGCCGTTAAGGCTTTGGAAATGTATAAAGCCTCTTCGGTAATAGTAAATTTCCTTAAATATAACATGAGATTGTGGAAAACCGTATTATACCTACATCACACCAAAGGTACTGTCCTTTCCAATCACCTGAATATACGACGGGAAATCCTTTAAAGAATGTCTCTGTTACTACTTTTGTTCTGTTGGTCTTTACTTCCCATTTCGCATGAACTAAACGGTAATACCAACAGATACAAAGTAAACAAGAAAGTATTTAAGCACCTAATCTACATAGATGATCTCAAATTATTTACCAAAGACGACAATGAGTTTAAGGCTCACCTCAATACCGTAAAATGATACAGTGACCACATAGGTAAGGATTTCTCATTAGATAGATGTTCAAATGTAAGATTCAAAAAAAAGAGAGAATTACAGAAACACACTCAATAGTCACCATGATTAGGGAACTGGAATACAATGGTGTCGATAAGTACCTAGGAATTAGTGAAGGGGGTGGAATACAGCATATCGAGATGAAGGGGAAGTTAAGAAAGAAGTAGAATAATAGAAGAAGAAGAAGAAAAAGAAGAAGAAGAAGAAGAAGAAGAAGAAGAAGAAGAAGAAGAAAAAGAAGAAGAAAGGATTGCAGAAGGAGGAGAAAAATTGGGAAAACGATAATAATAATAATAATAATAATAATAATAGAAGAAGAAGAAAAAGAAAAAGAAGGAGAAGAAGAAAACAAAGAAGAAGAAAAAAGAACTGTAGAAGGAGTTTGAAACATAATAATAATAATACTAATAATTATAATAACAGTGAGAAGAAAAAAGAGATGCAGACGTAGAAAACGAAGGTAACCTAGGAAGAGGACGGCGAAGAAGGACAATAATAATAATAATAATAATAATAATAATAATAATAATAATAAATCTGGTTACGGAGATAAGACCTGTTACAATTCTATGGGACTACACAATACACACTGACAGAACAATCAAAGCCAACCGCCCAGATATTGTTATTAAAGACCACAAACAAAAACGGTGCCTCCTTATTGATATGGCAGTCCCTGCTGACTGCAATGTATCTTTGAAGATATTCAAAAAGCTGTCAAAATACAAGGACCTTGAAAGAGAAATCTCGAAAATGTGGCATATGGGAACATCAACAATCCCTGTTGTAGTTGGAGTCCTAGGAATTGTTAGAAAATATTGCAGTAGACTAATTGAAGGGATTCCTGGAAGTCCATGCCTCAAGGAGATACAAAAAAATGTTCTGATAAGTACAGCCCACACTTTACGAAGGGCTTTATCTATGTAATTTTTTTTTTTATCAGTGGAAAGTGTCATTCTGCCATTTCTAACCTTAGGTCCCTGGGCGGGACCCGGAAAGAAATGTGTAAACGCCAGAAATCAAAGAAAATAATAATAATAATAATAATAATAATAATAATAATAATAATACCTGACCTGAGATGGAACAAATACATTGAATCTACCGCAAGGAAAGTTGGGTCTCTGTGTCGCGCCAGAATGTTTTTTACGCCTGAGTCCATCCTTTAAATAAGCCATTCGACTTTGCATAGAATACTGCTACCATATATGGCCTGGTGCACCCGCTGTTTATTTTAAGGACCTCGACAAGATCCAGAGACGGATATGTAATGTGATTGGCCCTGATCTGTTACCTAGTTTACAGTCGATCTCTCACAGACGTGCCGTCGCTACCCTTTGTCTTTTCTGCAAATACTTGCACGGTAACTGCTCCGACGAGCTTCTTACGCTGGTTCCCAAACTGCATGAATTTAAACATGCTACTAGTCTTACCCTTCCATTGTCGAAACGGTGAAATGTAGCCGTCTCTTCTACTTCGATAGTGCCATGCCTCGCATTTCCCGTCTGTGGAACTCCTTTACACTTACTTGCTTCCCTGATAGGTATAATCTTCAAATATCCAAACGCAATGTCAGTCGATATCTTCAGATGCCTTGATCTAATTCCCTGTTCTTCTTTTCATCTTTTCCTCTATCACGCCTCTTTACTCTTGCTCCCAGCCTCTGTATCTCATTGCGTGTTAGTGGCACTCTCGTCGTGCTTGGGGTGAAATGCTTAAAAGATAATATCAGTTATAATTGCCTTGGCTGTCCCTATGGGGCAATACAATTTCACCATCTTTTATTGGGTCATAGGTAATATTAAGCGAATGGACGCCAAAACGAGAAAGCTTCTCACTTGCTACCGCATGCATCATCCTAAGGCTGATGTTGATTGTCTGTATGTCTTCAGGACCAAAGAAATGTCTTACAGTTGATCATCTTGTATCAGGTTGTACGGAATTGGCACTCGCTGAATATAAAATCCGGTATGACAGGGTGGGCCAATATATTTAATGGAAAATCTGAAACTTCTACGGAAAGGAAACTGCAAGAAACTGGAATGAACATGATTACGGGGATAGTAACAATTTTATGGGACTTTAAAATAGACACAGACAGTACAATCAAAGCTAATCACCCAGACACCGTAATCAAAGACCACAAAAACGGAATGTGCTTTCTTATTGACATGGCAGTCCCTGCAGACTTTAACGTATCTTAGACGATCTTCAAAAAACTTTCAAAGTAAAAGGACCTTGTCATCGAATTCTCAAAATTATGGCATGCGATGACATGAATAATTCCAGTTGTAGATTGATTTGAAAGGGCCAGGGTAGCTGAAGCCTTAAAGAAATACAAGGAATTTTGCTCACAAGTACAGCTCAAAGTTTACGTGGGGCTTTATCTATGTAAAATGTGTGTGATCTTAGTTTTTTTTTTTGGTGGACTTTTTATTTTTAATTCTCAGTGGAAAATGTCATGATGCCATTTCTGACCTTAGATCACTGGTTGGGGCCCGGAAAGAAATGAGTATACACCAGAAATCAAATGAAATAAAATTAATAATAATAATAATACTAATAGTGATATAATGTATCCTTTTGCAAATGAGGATTTTGTGTATGGATAAAATGGTTGAAATTCATGTGGTGCAATAGTAAGCTTTCGATTCACATGAACAATTATCAATTTATTTATTTATTTATTTGTTATTATTACACACCTGCGCGCACACAGGTGCGCGCACACACACACATACACACCCACACACACACGCGGACACTCAGACATACACACATACATTAATTTGCTTTTACCTGACAATTTTAATTCCGCTTACTGTCCATATATTTTCTAGATGCGTCATATGGGATTTTATCTATAAAATTAATTCTATTGTTAGAAGCAAGGAATAATTTTATATTTTAAATCATTAAAAATAAATAAAAAAATATCCAAATGATAAATTACCGCGATCCGTATTATCACAAATGATGGGTGTATTTAAGTAATTTTGAAATTACACTTGTATCGTGTGCCTAAGTAATCAATCGTTTTTATCAAGACAAGGAACTCTGTTGTCGCTCGTGTGAAGGATTCCTGCCTTTTTGAATCATTAAAAGTAAAAATATACAAGCAGAATCAACACCAGCCACATCGCCAAAAATTGTGCCTGTATTTAAGTAATTTTTTAATTGGAATGGTTATCATTTCAAGATGGTCATTTTAAAAAATTTTTTCTCTAAAATTAACTCTATTGTCATATGTAAGAATGTACCTTTTTTTGAATCATTAAAAGTAAAAATTATCCAAAGAAAGACAATATTAAACAAAAAAATAAAAAGGAATATTTTAACGATCCCATCCCACCACACAAGAAATAAATATTTCATTATTATAGTAAGAATGGTTATTGGAGCACCCTAGGGTATTCCAATAACTTGGACGGATTTTAAATGTGAATTAAGTTTAAGCGTCTAATGATTTATTTTCTTCTTTTTTTTCAGATTTAACAACTTAAGTCTTGGGCAATTTCAACCATGGAAAGATTAACAATCAAACAACGTGTTACATGATATATTTTTATCGAAGCCTATATGCTTTGCGAAAAAACTTTATATATATATATATATATATCATATATATATATATATATATATACTTTGGAATGGTTATTGGGTGTTCCAAAACTTGGACGGATTTTAAATGTGAATTTTTAATGTGAATTAAGTTCAAGCGTCTAATGATTTTCTATTTCTTTCAGATTTAACAACTTACGTCTTTGGCAATTTCAACTATGAAAAGATTAACAATCAAACAACGTGTTAATGTTATCGAAGCTTATTACTAAAATGGAAGTTTAAACAGAATTTGAATGAGAAGTTCCCAGGTTGTATCAGCTCTCGAAAAGGCGAAGTCAATTGACAAACACGATCGTGCGACTCGACGACTTTATATTTCTTCGTTTGGGGTCATCTCAAAAGTAAGTTCTATGCCAACAAGCCAACAACAATTCAACAGCTGAAGGATGAGATAATAAGACATATTGGTGATATCGAGACGTCATCAAATATTTTGACCATCGAGTGGAAGTGTGCCGCTGAAGCCTTGGCAGACATTTGGGCGATATTATTTTTCACGCAAAATTTCCATGACTTAAATAACATGATCAATGGAGGAATAAAGAACCGGGTGAAAGGTCAAAATATATATATATATATATATATATATATATATATATATATATATATATATATATATATATATATATATATTAGGTTAGTGCAAAAATAATGACGTAATAATGTCGTTTTTTAACGTTAAGAAATACGTCAAGAAACGACATTATTACGTCATTATTTTTGCACCAACCTAATATATATTGGCGTCTGGCAATGACACCTCTGCGTATTGTGACCGTCAAACAAAAGCCTTCAGTGAATTAACAGTGTACTGTAGTATCAAACGACCGAAAGTGAGAAACATAAATACGGGGGCACATGAGAATACCTAAAGATGTTTTCCGAAAACTAAGCAAAGAATTAAGGCACCGGAAATGTTTGTTAGAAAGAAATATAAAGGGGAGACTGGCTACCCACCAAAGGTAAGACTTCAAGAACACCAGAAAGCTGTAAACGTGGGGAAAATCAGGCGTGGCTGACCACATGTGGAGAGGAAAGGAAGATCAACGCCGTCTGTAGGATCAGGTTGAAATCATAGACAAAGAACATCAATATGGGAAACAGTAATAAGGATTGCCAGAGAAAAGCAATAATAAGCAATATGAGCTCTGGTAAACAAAAATGGAATGATAACAGCAAAAATAGCAAAATAATAAGTAAAAAATGGTTGCTGAAGACATTAAGTTGGTCCCAGACATTCATACATATATGACCTCAAATACACATGGCACAGTGAATAAAGGCGTTGGTTAGATCCAGTGACAGGATCCAAAGAGTTGTGAGTTCAATAGCTGGTTATGGTAGTGGAGAACTTTGAGTGAGAAAACTGATATATACCTATATTCCCTTAAATGGGCGTTGTTTCATCAATAGTTCTTCTGATAGTCTACTCCAGCGAGTGAAATAAAGGGTTCAGTACGATAACGTTGTGATATCAACGTTGTGATAATTATGGCAACAAAGATGAGGACAATAGTCGGAATAATGTAAATAATGTACATAATACCTGATCTCAGAAATATAGACAGATACTGAAAGGCCGAAACGTTGTAATAAATATGGCAATAAAGATGAGGACAATAATCCGAATAATGTAAATAGTATACATAATACCTCATCTCAGAAATATAGACAGATACTGAAAGGCCGAAATGTTGTAATAAATTTGGTAACAAAGATGAGGACAATAGTCCGAATAATGTAAA